GCCCGATACCAGTCCAGGGTGCTGAAGCAGAGTGCATTGCATTTAATCCTGGCACCTGGACCAATACTGCCACCCGGAGGCTGTCCTGATCACTGTACTGTCCCGCCATATTTCGGTAGATGGCAAGTAATTGGACAGAGGGACAGACACTCAGGGTCTCACCTCGAGACAAACCCCATAATGCACCTTCAGACAATCTAACGGGGAGGCATTTCCAGAGCTCAATTCTGTCTCAATGAAAAATTAACTAAAATGTAATTAAATCTTAGATCTGTCATTCTGGGTCAGGTTTCCCCTGTACTGTTTGTGTTTTTAGCTGAAAGTGCCGTGAGTAAGAGGTTTCATCTGGGGAAGGCGAGCGAATCGGGAGACGTGCGGATGATTCCCACCCCATAAGCTCACCGCCGCCTCCGGCTGGCCGTATGGCAAGCGCGTGCGCATGCGGGGGGCGGGGGGGGGGGCTGAGATGCGGGGATAGACAGCTGAATAACCCCTTTCATTCTCTCATTTCCTTTGCCATGTTAATGGGATCACGAGCCTGAGACTATTGATTAATCTAAGTGGCAGTGGGAGGATGAGAGCGACTTCTGCCAGACGTAAGAAAGCCTATTAAATACGAGGGGGGGCTGCATGTCAGGGCAGGAAGACAGCAGGAGTGCAAGGAAAGGGGAAGAAAGCGAGAGAGAATAAATGAATGGAAACAGCGATGGGGGAAAGGCATGGGGGTAGTCTTCATTGTTGCGCCGGCCAGCGAGGATGCGGATTAACGGGAAAAGGAGCCCCCCCCCCAGGACCCCCTGGGAGCCGTACGTACGGATGGCCCCGCATCCCACACATGTGTTGGACAGGAAGGCAGCATAAGGCGGCCGTTAAGAGACACTACAGGGACAAAGCGGTGTGTGTATGGTTGCCATGGTTACTGCATTCCAGGCAGCTCGATAGAGAATTGGGCACGCTGCGGCCAGGGGGCGGAGACGGGAGGGCCAGCGAGGCCCCGGGCGAGTGTGCGGGGCCATGGCGATGGCGTGGCCAGAGTTCACCTGCAGCGAACCGCGACTGAGGGAGGCGGACCGATGCCCAGCAATGTCAACACCCAATGACATCACATGACCATCAAGGCCGCCGCCGCGTGTGACCGCTGGCACCTTCTACCTTCACGCAGAGCTCAGCATCATTCAGCAAGGGCGCTGGATGTTAGCATCACCATGGTTACCGTCACCATGTTAATACTACATGGCTACAATCTAAAGCTTTCATGTTTGAACTTCACCTATAATACAGACTTAAATATAGGAAATAATACATATTGTGTTCCTTAGCTAAGGGATTTACTGGAAACAGAAAATCGTCAAATGTTTAAGAGAACAGAAGCTTCTGGATCCTTTTATCCAAGGGGCACGTGTCTGCAGAAGGGCCTTGAGAGGCTGCCTCCTCTGTGCCTGACTGAAATGAATAAATGATGAAGTGGCCTGCACCCGGTCTGGGCGGGTGCTGCGGGGCACGCCTTGCGGATTGATTTATCAGGTCTCGTGATCCCACCCCCAGCTCCAGAAGGGAGTCAGCTTGTTTTCCTTTCTGTACTGTCAGCTGGGCTGAGCCCAGAGAGCATCAACATCATTCCTGATGAAAACAAATAGAGATCCATTCCAACACCAAAGGCGATCCCTGCTCAGAAAGACCTTGCCCATCACCCCACATTCCTGCAGTCTCACGGGGGTGTTTCCTGAAGCACGCCTGTGTACAGACTCTCTGCGATCTGGGGGTGTTCGCTTTCATGGCCGGGCGTGCGGGGCCACGATAACCTCCTCATCATGGTGCCCACAGCAGGCTGGGTCTGCTCTCCAAAGAGGCTGTGGACAGGATCAGCCACACCTGATACTTCACACTTATTTATCGAAGTTTTATTTAGCAGGTAAAACCCTCATTAAGGACTGAGATTTTACTGTATCTCACTCATGGCTACTACAGTATATGAGGACCTCTTCTGGAGTTTGTCCCTATGACCTCTGGGTTATGAGTACACGCTCTTAATCGCTATGCCACCTAGTGGCCAGACTGCTTCTGGTGTCAGTGCTGGATGCCATTATATGGTTTTAACATGTTTTTACATGGTGAGGAGCTCAAGGGTAACGGATCCCAGGCTGGCCACATGCAGCTCTCAGGGCCGTGATCCGGCACGGGCGTTAGGCCAGAACCAGGATCAGTCCGTCCGTCACCAGAAATACAGGGGGACCCAGGGGAGGGGTCATCAGGAATAACCATGCCCCTCTAGCCCTCTTTTTATGGCTCTGCTGACAAGCGACGTGACAGAGAAGCCACCGTTGAAAATAACCCACCATTATAAATATTTAAGCAAAGAGGATCTATGGAAAATGAGCTTCATCTGACATGGAACCCGGCGGGGGTGATGGGGCGGGGGTGATGGGGCGGGGCTGACCCACCCCAGCTGTGACAATCAGTGCTGGCAGCTTACTGACGCATCTCAGGACCCTGTCCCACCACCCTGAGCCTCCAGTGGGGGCTTCGGTCTAGCCGGGTGGGCATAACAGGACCAGGGATGGTGGGCTCTGTCTCCATAACAACCTCCGCAGAATGACATCAGATGAATGACCTCAGAGAAGGAGGATGACGCGGAAAAGCAGGTCATACAGACCGAGCCGTCGCCTCACGCGCGTCTTCCTTTAAGGAGAAACCTCTGAGGGTGGCAGCCCCCCCCCCCCCCTCCCCACCCCCCACGAGACTCTCTTGCTTGAACATTATACATCTAAAATTAAATTTTTATTCTGCTCAACTCCATCGCCCACGGCAACATCAGGCTGGGCCCAATTTGGCAGAGTGTGTAGGTACAGCAGCCCAGTGTAGGTCTATAATCCGCACGCACGTCTTTCGATAAGCGACACGCTTGTGCGTTTCCACCCCATTCTTCCGCCGCATAACCGCACCTGTGTTGTCGTCTTCACCGCTCAGGAAAACGAAATACGAACATGTTTGTCTCCTGTCCTCGAGAGAAGCACACCGGCTGGTATCGCTTTTCAGTTTAATGGAGCTGGCAGGAGATGACATCAGCTTTTTGGGTGAGTTTCGCTTAAAATACGAGAGCAGAGGGGACACTGAGATGGGCTCAATAGAAGCATATTGGGGAGGATGGATGCTAGAGGACCAGTCCGTCGCAGTGCCAGAAAACCTGACCCGGAAAAGGCAGTTAACATGCACAACTGCAGACACACACACGTACTCATATCTCTGTGGGGACCGCTCATTCATCTCTATGGGCAAAACTCTAATCCCAACAGACGACCTTAACCCCTACCCAGCCCAAACCTTAACCATAAGTAACCAAACAAAATACATGACTTTTAGCATTTTAGTTTTTTGATTTTTATAAAATTGAATTTCCCCTTGTGGGGATCGAAAAGCATCAAAATATCAGGTTTTTATCACATTATAGGGACATTTGTATGAGGAGATTTGGTCCACATGCACACACACACAGTCACACACACATTTCCAAACAGAAGTATCCTGACACAAATTTTTTTAAACATTTCCTACCTACAGAGACACTGGTTCTCTCTCACACACAGACACACACATACACACACTGTCCATATATACCTATCATTGTAGGGACTCTCCATTCAAAATACAAAACATTTGGCATTTTTGTTTTTTTTTCATTGCATTCACAGATTTTTACAGGTTTGTATTGTGGAGACAAATGCAAACTCACACACACTCACGCAGACACACATAAACACACAGCTGCCATGTGTGTGTCCACTGTCACTACAGGATCACCATCCCTCTCTCTCTAACAAGCCACCCTGAGTCCCTGACACAGCAGCTCCTGTCCTGACTCTCCGGAGGCTGGAGAGGGTCCCAGAGTGCCGCATGTGCTAACATCCTATCCCAGCATGCACTGCCTCTGCTCAAACCCAGCCTCTTTCCTTAATATTCTTTGCAGCCCATGTTTTCAGCTCAGTGCTGGACAGCAGGCAACCAAAGCTGCTTCATATTGTAACTGGAACGTTTATGGGGCTCTTCTGTCCTTGGTATTTGTTCCTTGGTATGTGGTACACGGGAGGCGGCGAGGACCGCTTGCCCACAAAGGTGGCTGGAATTAAAAGCCCCTGAAGGGGGCAGTAGAGTGCGGCAGATGGCAGTGCCTTGCTGGCAAACCTGAAGGCGTGCCCAGCGTGGATGTTCATGCTCACCAGAGAGCGCCAGATCTTTCTGCTTTTCTGAGAAAACAAGCTCCCTACTATGCACAGGGCAGCCACATGGGGGCGTGCTCTAGCCGAATCAGGAAGGCGTGTCATCGTACATTCCGTGCAGAGTCCTACCACACTGTTGTTGTATTAAATAGGCCAATTAAATCTCTGTATATCCTTTACGGCTGAGCCATAAGGTGATATCAGACTGGATATACAGCTCTGGAAAAATTTAAAAATTAAAAAAATTCACTCATTTCTCAATTTCTGAGTGTGCATCTGTGTAAATTATAAATTTTTTTTTGCAAAATCCCAGCATGGCTCTTCCCTGCTTCTCTTTAGTGAAGAGCTTCTTCCTTGCTTTATGGGTCTTCAGTCCTGCTTCTAGGAGCCTGATATGAACTGTCCTAGCAGTGCACTTCACACCTGCATTTAATGTTTTCTGTTCCTTTTGAAGGTCACTTGAGGTTATGGAGTTGATGGTCATCTCTGGCATCAGAAAGTCGCTTCCGCCCTTTACCTGGCTAGTTTTTGGTCGTTCCCATGTCCCCTGCTTCACCTTGTTCTTTGTCTTAGAGACGTTGAGCCTGGAAGCAGCCTGCCTTGCAGTGTAGCCTTCTGCCAGCAGAACCAGGATTAAACCAGGTTCTCTTCATTTTTTCCAGAGCTGTATATGGAACCTTTGCTTCCATAGTAGAGCTAGGACCTTTCACCCCTGGAGAAGCCATTGCCAAGCCGGATAGCTGTTCTACAGTACAGACAAACAGGGAGCCAGACGGCCGCACTCACGTGTTGCCACTGTTCCCGGATCAGTGGTCTGTAGCGCAGGAAGTACTTCAGGGGGAAATTCTCCACGTCGGGCCACGTGCTTGGGCTGCTCCAGGTCACCTCCAGGCGCCGCACGTTGTTGGGGATGGGTGTGGCCACCACCTTCTCAGGCGGATCGGGTTTTACTGCGGGGATGGGAGGGGGGCACGGCCTTATACACATGGAGCAGAAAGGCACGGCAATGTTCACGGCCGCTCACAAACATTCAGAGATGTTCATAACGTTTCTTAAATGCCCCTGTAATGGTCAGAGCTTCACATTGTCCAGGACTCTACGAAAATTCTGTCTTCAATACGTCGGCAACCCATCAATAATATGAAGATAAAACAGACAAAGAGAATATAGAAGAGAAATTAATGGATATAAAAATAAGGGAAGATTAGGTCAGCCCCCAGAAGCCAGAGAGAGATAACAAGGGAAGAGATGAGGGGGAGGCTATCAGCTCCATCAGCTCCATCAGCCCACCTCCCCCCCCCCCCCCCCTGACAGACAGACACCTGGACCACATGAGGATTTAGAGGGGGGGGGGCAGTGATGGGCATGGTGGTTCTTTTGCTTTGCAGCAGTTGGTGGGGCCTGGGGCTGAACTGGGGGGGTGGGGGGAGTTCGGGGGGTTCCGTGTGGATGGACAGACCGGCCACTCCCAGCCCGCCCCTGTTCTCGCCCCTCTGCCCCGGGCAGCTCATTACTCAGAAAGCCTGTAAGCGCCCATTGTGGGTGGGGACTTCTCAGAGGCCTCTGCATGGACATCTATACTCGACCTGGTGAATGTGTGTGGGGGGGTAATGATGATGTTTGCATCTTGCTCCCCCTCATGTAGAGGGTTGCATCCGCTGTCATAGGGTTCCCTTCCCAGCCCCCACCCCACCAATCCTCCCCCCCGCAGAAGCAGTTAAAATGTCAGCGATGGCTGAACTAAATTACATTCTGGTAAAATCTACTGGCACAGATGGCGGAAAGACAGCCAGCACTGAAGAGCCAGACGGTGACGTGTTTACCGATGTTGAACTCGTCAAAGGAGATGATGGTGGACGCCTGGCCTAGTGCGTTGATGGCAGTGACGTTCACCCTGTACTTGAACGTGGAGAAGAGTTCAGGGAACTTCACATTACACCGGTTCTTGTGGATCGGATCCCTCTGGACATCCAGGGACCTCTGATTGTGTCTGAGAGTGAGGAGACAGCAGTGGACAGTGTCACATCAGGTAAACCCAACACACTTCTGAAAATCACTGCCATCTTCTGGGACTACAGGACCTGCCTGTCCTGCGGCTGATTGGCTAAAAGCCCGGCCAATCAAAACAGCAGGGCATGAGGTCATCTTTACTTTACAAATGGCTGACATAAGCCTACCCCCTGGGAAATCTAATTTGTGGCAACCTCACGAGTCACAAATGAAGGTAGAGATAAATCACTCAAGTGCTGTGCATATATATTTTGGGGGAATTGTTTGCATTACCTCATTCAATGAACTGCATTTATGTGACATTCCAACAGCCACCCTCTTTGTGGCCCATAAGCCCACAACACATCTAGTAACACTGCTCCTAAAGCGATACGACGGACCCCCCTGAATTCATAAAATTTTAAAGTGATTGCACGATATATGTCTTTGAACACCATGGATAAAAACGGTCTGCAAAGGAAAGGTAATCACGGCATCTACTCTGTCCTCTGTGGAAGATCGATCACGGTAAAGTGATGATGGCTGGTTTACATCATGGCCGACTTTATGAGCACAGAGTGTGATGGTTTAATGACCCTCGCGTGGCCCTCGGAAGGACAGATAGCCCCATTCGTCGCCAGCGTGACGCTGCAAAGGAGCATCTGTTATAGGAAGCTAAGCCCCCCCTGCAGCCTGATATGCCGTGCAGATTATTAGGCCTCTTCAGTAAGCGATGGATCCCATTTATCTCTGAGGAACTGATTCCAGTGAGACCAGCTCGGTCCCCCCACAAACCCCCACTCTACAACCTTGGTGGCCAGATCAGCTCTGACTCATTTGAGTCACCGTCGGGGGCTGGTTTGTTTGGGTTTCCGGCTCCATATTTATAACTAATAATTGTCAGCAAAGCTCACATCCAACCAAAACCAACCAGCCTGACAAACCGAAAATGGCCGGAGGTCATATCGATACAAAATCGAGGTGGGCGAATTTTTAATCTATCCATAGGGGGCGCTAACCCAGGCGAGTTTACAGCAAGGGGGTGATGCGGCTGTAACACACACGGGGGGGGAGGGACCACTATCGCTACTCTGCAGGATCAACAGAAGGGGGCGCTGTTCATCTGCCAGCGATCCATACGGAAGGAGAGGTGGGCAGGTGGAGAGGGGCATCTCCTTCACCCCCGGGAGCTCCCTAAAACAGTGCCAAACTCAATTTCCTCCCGGAAATTGCTCCTGGATCATGGTGTGATGTTTGGTCCCGCAGTGTCACCAGCGCTGGCCCTAGCTAAAAGTACTCTCTGCCACAGTGTCTCGGGCACTTCAATTATCTGAAGGGTGGCCAACAAAACGAGTGTTATCAGGCTGAATATTTCAGAGGAGGAGGCGGGAGGTGCCCGTCGAGCTGGACAAGCACACCTGTCGCCGACGATTACGTATGAATGTGTGCCTAAGTGCTCCAATCAGCGCTGAGGATCGCTGATTTGCCACGGAGCAATAACAGCACCTGGAAAGACGACGGGCCGGTGGAGAAACGTGCTTCTGAGCCAAGAAGCCGAGCTCCCCTGGCCTCCTGCTGCCGACCCGGCCTGCGAAACCCTCCGATCTCACAATATCATCCTTCTGTTTCCCATTAAGAAACAAGCTGGTCTTTACCCTCAGTCTGTCTCTCAGGATGCAGGAGGCTCTGGATCTGGAAGCCTTTTCTCCAACTTAATGTTGGAAAACGTCACTATGTGACATGTTGTGGGTTTGACTTCCCAGTAGCACACGATGTTGAGTTTTTGACTCCAGCTGCCTTATAACCCATCTAAATACATCAAACTAAAACCACGCTAATGAACAAGGCCTTTCTGACCCAGATCCAACCAAACTGTGTGCGCCTATGGGCTCAGCAGGTGGCACACAGCTCCCATCCCAATCCAGCTGGAGTTGCCCCCCTGCCCCCACTCCCTGCCCCGAATGAGCATGTCGCCGCCCTGCAGGCCGTTGACGGAGCCTTACTTGACTTGGACCTCGAACTCAGTAGGGATGTAGGTGAGGTGCTGCAAATGCCAGCTGCAGTAGAAGCCCTTGGGGTAGGTGTTGGAGCGGCACATCACCACGGGATCTTTGGGAGGAGCTGAAGGAGACGGAGGCAATGGGGAGGGAGAAAGAGAGAGTGTGAAGGGAGGTCACTTGCCGGCACGGGTGGACAGGGCAGTGGGGAGACGCAGCAACCACCCCAGCCCCTCCCCCCAGATTAGACCACTTTCTTAAACCTCCACTGGACCGTGTCCGGCGCTTGCAAAATTGAAACCGATGATTTGAACTAGTTGCCTTGGAAACGCATAATATTACCTTATTCCTGCTTAGCAGTGTGAAATGTGGAGGGGAGGGACCAAGGGAGGGGCTTAGCTGAACGTACACTTCCCGATTTCGTCTTGACAACCAACAACATGATGCCTGGCTGGGAACAGTGGCTGCCAAAGTGCAGTGCAGATGGCTGACAGCCCCGCGTTCATGTGCTCACAGTTCCCCCCCAACACAGTGCTAACGTTGCTATGGACGGCCACACATTTCCCACCAACCGCAGCACCAGCAGACAGCAGCTTCTCTGACAGGCTCCTACACGCCCTGAATAAAGGGTACCCGTTTGTACCTCTGCCTGGCATTGGGCGGGATACAGAAATGGACTCCCCAAGGTAAAAACAACATTAATGTACCCCCAATGGTACAAAAATGTTCCTCATAATCCATTTCTGTACCTTAAAAGGTACATTTATCCTTGAGGGTACAGCCCCAGTGACAAGCAAAGGTACAAATCTCTACTAATTTTTCTGAGAGTGCAGGGCTGCTAGAGCACCCAGAACACAAGCCATACCACAGCCCAAAAGCAAAATCTCTAGCAGCTTAAACACTCTGCCAATCACATGCTAAAAGAGGCTGGAGGGGTATCCCCATTTTCTACAGGAAGACAGCACCAACAGGCAGTACTAATCAATCCATCTGCACCATCAGGCAGTACTAATCAATCCATTAAAGTTATAACGACTATCCATAAAGCCCACACAACGTGCCATATTCCCCATTAATAAAGTCAGATGTAACTCAATATATGGTCTATGAAAACCCTAAACAACCTCCCCATCATGATTAAGGGCAAAATGAATCTCAAATTGATGAGACCAATCAATGCCGTTCCCCCGAACTTCCCCAAACTCTGCCCTAATCACATCATTAAAAGTTTCTCTCCGGTTCGATGGCACACTTTGAAACACGTAGGGGGCGGCACGAGGTTCACGCTGTCAAGAATGATTTGGGAAGATTGACAGTCCGACAGAAAACATTCCTCTGGGGGGCACGTTGGCCCGGCCTTTGACGTATTCACGGATGGTCCCTCGATTAGTTAGTCAGCGGTGAAAGATCGATGGCAAATTACGGCGTGTCCCCAGTGTGGATGATCAAGAAATCTCGTTTGCAAAGGGAAATTTTCTGGCTTTGAAAACGGGCATCTCCGGCGAGGAGAGGTCATCGCCCATTTCATGCTGTCAGTATTACAAAATGGAGTGATCATTCCCACATCCTGAGGTCTTTATAAATCCACCCACATCTACAGACAGATTGGGTGAGTCCTGTGCTTATGAACCTCCCACCCGTCCTGAACACGGCCACATTCTCATCCCTGCACCTGCTCACCTGAACACAGGTAAGGTGTGATAATTATCCACCTTGCAGAATCAGGTGTGCCACAGCTTGATGGGCTGTAGGGGGAGCCGGGGAGCGAGGATGGGGCTATTCATCTACTGTTCTACATCTACTGTTCCATTCAGCAAGTATTGTTCAAATCCCTAGTGGGATTGGCTGTTGCACGATTAAGAAAGACACAAAAGCGGTCCTCTGACATGCTCACTTACAAATGAGAAACATGATTTGGCTGCACATTCTATATCCAAATATTTAAATCTATAAAACTGTAAGTATGTTGGCTTTTTAATGGTGCATGTAACAGTTTTCAGACATAATGATATTTCTCAGACAAGACGAGCAATGTAAACTATAGAAATGTAACAGAAGGAGAGTAATTACAATGGATCCCGAGGCAACGTGAGGGGGGCGGAGCATGGGGGGGGGGGGTGGGGGGAACGCTGCTGTCCTGTAGCTACCATCGCTGTAAATGCTCTTGCATTAACGACATCCCAGGGTAAAAGCTCTTTACTGGGGGACAAACGGCATTTCTGTTCCTTTCATGACAGATAATATATGCACACACAGTAACACCAATAACCTTGAAGACAGCAATTCAGCCGGCGACCCCAGGCTAGCGGACAGGAAGCGCACGACATGCCGTCCACTCAGCACCTGATGGAATTTACAGTCACTTCCTACCAGCCTTAGTCTTACATCCACGAATCTGTGGTGTTTCTGGCTAGCGGTGAATTCAGTGGTTGGATACTCTGGGACCGGGACTTGTCACCCGAAGGTTGTTGGTTCAAGTCCCAGGAACGAGAGCGCCTGGTTACACCCCAAAAGCTGCCATATAAGGAAGTCGAAGCACGCCACTGCACTCTGGATCTGGAGCATCTGGGATGTGACTAAATAAATAATGTCCTAATTCGACACAGGCCCGTGGGCTCCATTATCAGGTCCACCGAGGCAGCAGGGGCCCGCGTCAGCCGGCAAGACCCCCAGGATGGGGATGATGGGATCGTCTCTGCTTGGCCTCTGGCTCCCCGCCGGCCAGCCAGCCCTGTAATCTCCCACGATTAAAGGCCCCATGAAATGGAAGACACCATTTTGAAGGCTAGCCTGAGAAACGTCAAGCTGCTGTCTCAACATGAAAGGGAGGGCGGACGACCCCCGACCCCAGCTATCATCACGCCTACCCCCAGCCCCCCGCCCCGGGTCAACCGGCTGGAATGCAGGGAATGCAGCTGTCGGATGGAGACCCCCACAGGAGGGCCGTATGCCGTACCCGAACAGAACACCGCTCCGGTGATGCCCCAACCGGGACGGAATAACACGTGCCACGTTGAGCGGCGCTGTTCTGCTGCCCAGGCACCTCCCTTCCCAGAACCAGAAGCCAAGGGGATAAGCCAACCTCTGGTCTGAAACTAACAACTTGCCAAGTAAAAATGCCCGTTCCCCAAGCTGTGAGATGGGTCCGTTTCAATTCCTCAGGGGAAGCCAGGAGGTGATGCTTCGAATGAGCCAGCGGTGAAGCACGGGTCCAGTGCCGAAAATTCCACCAAATCGCTCTCTCAGGATTTGGGCCTGCCTGTAAATTCAGTGCAAACCTGAGGCAGTGTTTAATCAGAGCGGCTGCTGTCTGGTGTGGCGGGGCAGGGAGCGGGGACTTCCCGGTGGAACCAGAAGGCCCAGAGTGTAGTGGAACATTCTGGAGGAGTCGCACATATATCACAGATTCGGCCACAAGGTCCGCGGGGAATGGCCCGACGATTAAACTGTGAGAGCCTTCCCCTGTCCCCCGCTGTCGCTTCCTGACACTGAATATTTTGACAGCAACACCTCAGCCCCCAAACAGCCACTTTCACGAACAAAGTATAAATAGCCTTGGAGGCTGACGCCATGTTCTCACCCAACCTCGCCATCTGCTGACTGACACAGCCAGGGTGTCTGCAGGAGCACACAGGGAACACCTAGTGCAACCCCAGTGTTCCAACCAGCAGCATACTGGTCAGCACCCATTCCTCACCTACTGCCTAGCACGCCTCGCACATCTTAACATGGGCAGCAAACTGTCTTCCGTCTCACAACCATCAATGTTTCCATGGCAACAGACAACGGTCTGAATGGCGAAACGGACCACGCTAGAACAGGACCGGATCCACTCGAATCCGACTGCGTGAAAAGCGAAGCCTTAAGACGGTCAGTAGATGAGAGCGGGGGGGGGTCTCTGTCAACGAGCGGGAGAACACAGCACACATCAAGCTTCTGAACCACACCCCCCCCCCCCACCACCACTTCATCAGCTAATTACCAAGAAGCATGATGTCACCGGCCATCGTTTTGGGGTGCAAAGTCAGACAAACACGTCAATATATTTTAGTGCCTATTTTTTCTCCCTGAAGTTTCTCCCTTTAAATCAACAGGAAGAGCGAACTAACGTGACAGGAAGGAAGAGGAGCAGCTTAATTAGATTAGTGGCTGAACAGTTCAACAGATTTCACTAATTAAAAGGAATTCAGACGTACCAGAGATTTGCCGTGGCGTCCTACTCCTGAGCCAACCACCCCCCACCCCAGGAGGTGAATTACATTTCCATACATGCAAAATGTACACTCAGAGAAACCAAGGTTGCATTTACAAAACAACAACAAGAGTAGCAGCAGCAGAAAACATTTGCTTTATGAATCTTTCACGTTGTCTGCAGAGGAAAGGAGTGTGTGATGCATCTGGGGGGGGCATCTAACAGAAATGGAGGGAACAAGATGGATGGGTGAAGGATGTGCAGAGAGAGGAGCAGAGGGGCGAGTGCCGGGCTCAGGGGGTCGGGGGTGGCTGAGTGGTCCTGGGGATACAGTGCTGCATGTGGGGCGAGGGGAGGGGGGGGTGTGCGCCCTGGTAAATCAGCAACAGGCAGTGAGCTGGACCTGCTGTTCACCCCGCCCCCCTGCCCCCCTTCACTCTCATTATCCTTTAGAACACAAAGAATAATAGAATATTTACTCTGTATACAAGTGGATCTTTCAGCCCTGTGCGTGCGTGTGTGTGTCTGCATGCAAAGCAGATGTACACAGTCATACGAGGTCCTGCACCTAACCCTAACCCTAACCCTAACCGTACCTAACCTTAACCCTAATCCCATCTCTGACAGCCGGCACAGCGCCCCCTACCTGACCCTAACACCAACCCAAACCTCCACCCATCTGCCAGGATTTTGTACCAACCCCTCTAGCTCAACCAGGCGCAGTTACCGCTGAACTCTCCTAATTCTGTGCACAGTAACATAAGACACACTTTCCCATCTACTAGATGCTTTACGACAGTATAGTGATAGCACAGAGGTCAGAGGTCATGAAGTCAAAGGTCATCAGCTGGCACCACACACCACACCCATGGAAAGCCAGTAAGCCCCCAGGGATTTAGTTTATAAAGTACAGTGGTATTAATGGGATGATG